GAGCGCCGCCTGACGCGCGGGCCGCTCTCAGCCGCGGGCGCCGCCGCCGCCGCCACCCGGACTACCCGTCCCAGCGCCCACCGCGGCCCCGCCGCGGCTTGCCTGCCGGCAGCACCGCGCCGCGCTACCTGCTGGGAAATGTAGTCCGCCGGCGACACCCGCTATGGGCTGCGGCGCGGTTCCCGGTCTGTCCCACCTGGCGGCGGAGCAGAGGCTGCCGGGAACTGTAGTCCCCCCGGGCGGCCATCCCGGCAGGCGGAGGGGTGGCTGCCTCGCCCGGTTTCTCTTGAGGCCCGGCCCGGCGCTCCGGTGCGGGAGCCGAGAGAAGGCAGCGATGTCCGGGCCCTCCGGGCGGCCTCCCGCCCCCTCAGCCCGGTGTCGGCAGGAGCGGGAGCTGCCGTTCCCGTGGTCAGACCGTGGCCTTGTCCCAGACAAATTAAATACCGGGTAATCAGGGAGTGGTTAGTATCGGGGCTGTAGAGATAATAATGCTGCTGAGGTGACGTGAATTTCGTGGTCCCTGCCCTTTGCCCGTCCAGTCCAGTGAACAGGTGTCAGATGCTCGCTGTACGCCTCATCGGGTTTTCCAAAAGAGGACAAACCCCCTTGTTTTAATCTGTATTACCATATTTTTTATTTTTTTTTTCCAGGACACCGTGTGTGTGGTTCTTCACGTATGACCTGTGAACCCCTACCCATCCCCACTGCGCGGAGGGGTTTTGGGAGCCAGAGGAGGTGAGTGTCGGTTCCGGGGCTGGGGAAGGTGAGAGCTCAGGCCAGGACAGGGGGAAGTTTGGGGGTGGTGGAGGGGGAGCTACCAGGGTGGCGAGAGGGCTGGGGACACCCCTGGGTGGCTGGCACACTCCCCACCCTGTCTGCCAGAGCCACGGGGGTGAAGGGTTGAGGTCAGGGTGAGGTGACCATGAGTACAGGTGGTTATCTTTAACGCTGCTTCTCGTTTGGGGTCAGAACCAAAGCTGCTGGGCTTTTCTCCTGCCCCGGTTGTGCATCCCTTGTGCTGGGGACGAAGAAGCCCTGCCTCCAGCCACAGAAAACCAGGGTGTCTCTGCTTGTGACACCCTGCTTTAGGCGTGTGAGATGTTAATAGCAATAGCTTAAAGTAGAAACCTCTTTTGAGGGAGTATGCACCGCCCCTGCTGGCTTCACCGAGTCCATAGGAGAGAACGTAACTCTTCTTATTCTTTTTTTAGCCTAAGAAATGTAAAGATTAGCCCCTATCTAGATGGGGGGTGGGTATCCAGAGCTGTTTGGACTCCCTTCATGCTTTTTTTTTTTTAACAAATGAATGTCTCATCAAGTAAGTGTATTTCACAGTAACATTCACTGGTGTAGAATCCTCCCCGGGGATTTGAGATGCTCCTGAACTGCATCACCCACCCACCCGGCTTGCAAACCCTGTGCTTTCCTTTTCACCCTTCCTCCTGTAAGTTTTAAATGCAGCTCGTGCCCACTGAATCAGCGTTAGTACAGCTGGATCTGACGATAGATTGCTCAAGGCTGATTATTTTTTTTCTTCCTCGTTTTTTTTTCTTCCTTGTTTCCCTCTTTTTTTGCCCCAGTTCCCTTCGCTCTTCTTCCCCTGGAGCCGGGGAGAGGTTTTGGGGCGAGGAAGGCTCAGGCCCCTCTGGCAGCCGTCGAATTGTCGGTATTTTTCCTGTTTTTTCCTAATTCGGTGTCTCCGCGCTCCCGTTTTGGTCCTTGAGCGCCCCTCGGGGATGTGCGAGAGGCCAGTCAGCTGAGGGTTTGTTGTTTTAATTGCTCTTAATGACGTTAAAACCCTGCTCAGCCGTAAATCCCCTCTCTGGCAGCGGTGGCGGAGCTCCCCCGCCGCCTCTCGCCTCTTCCCCGCCCCGACAGCCGCCTGTTTTTTGGGGAGGGACGGGGGGGGACCCCGCTCCGGCGAGGCCTTCCCTGCCCGCCCTCCCGCCAGGGGCCCGGGCGGCGGGGAAGTGAGGGAGAGGAGCGGCGCCGACCCCGCTGTCGTTATCCCCCCGCGGGGAGC